AGAAGCTGTTCCTAGTAACCCTTGCTTAATGTTGTGTTTAGTTGTTATACTTGGCTTTTATACTTTGCATTTTTTTCAGAGTTCATTTTGAGATTTACATACTGGTAACTGAACACATCTACTTTACAGGTGTTGCAATTTGTGATCTGTTTATTAGATTGACTTGGATTATGTGATGTTTTATGCGCAAATTCATGCTCATAATGGTTAGTCTTCTAAGCTATTGCTATATCTTTTTGTCCACATTAATTTTGTCCCAACAGAGAGGATTCACTCAGGCAGATCACCCCCTCGGGTACTTATCTGGTACTGAGTACTTTGATTTGTCTTCGAACCATTATGTTCCACTTTGTATTTAAAGTTAAACTTTGGAGGAAGTATTGGACTAGAGATCCTTTCGCATCCAGAACTGTGTCATACATTAGGAACGTGCATAGCCGTTCTCGTCACAGTGGTGACACTCCCTGCACCCTAAGCCTTTGTTCAAAGGTAGGGAGTTTACTATTCTTTTACAGAGCACAAGGAACTACTACTCTGCAGTTAATTATCTAGATTCCAGTAGGACAACTCTTGCCCTTATCCTCACTAGAATACAGGGTACAGACATCCCTACATCTTGTTTATATTTTACTACCTTGAAACATTCATTTATATTGTTTTTCCTAAGTCCTTACTAAAGTCAAAGACTTAGTTTTATTTCAGGTTATCATATATAGTGTAGCAATATATCTTTTAAATTTATTGTTGCCTTACAGGATAGTTACTTATGTACAGTGTTGCTAGTTATATAACAACCATTCTCGTGCATATTGCCACATCACTTACAAGACAGTCTATTAATCCTCATTTATTGGTTCACCTTCTTCCATTTATATTTTGCATTTGAATAATATTCAATATGTTTAGGTTAGCAGCATTTCGTGCTAACTCGGAGGAGGAGCTCCACACATCAATTCGTGCTACTAGAGCAATAGCCTCTTTCTAATACACAGAGTAATCACACTAACGTGATGTATCAATGAGAAAATCACTCATTGATACATCATGTATCAATGAGGGTTCATTGTATCTAACGTGATGTATATCATTGATACATCACGTTAGTGTGATTACTCTATGTGGATTGTTAGGAATAAAACCCTAGACATCAGCTCTTAAATTTTGTTGAAATTTATAATTTCCCATTTTGTTTTCCACTTTAACTAACGTATATATACCGTTATTATTTTGAGCCAATGTAGTGGAAGCATGCTCCATATTTTGTGATAAATGCATAATGTATGCGAATTAAGGCCTAAATGCCCAAACCACACACAAAATCAATGCTGAATACATGTGAGAAGCACTCACATGGCACATTGGGGCAGCTTACAGGTAAATTAAGATTATGCAAAATGTTATTTAGGCAAATCACAGAGGTAGTTGGTCAATACAAGTAAGAGTTAACACCCCCTCCCCCACAAGTTGGAGTCAAAGCATTGACAGTAATGTAGAGAAAAATGAAAGTTGAGGGTAGATTTTACTGATGATGTTTTGTCACTAGGGGCTTTAATCAAAGCTGACAGATGCACAGTGCTAGCTGCTTAGGCTTAGCCAATAAAGTGGAAGTCAAATAAGACCAGAAAGGTGAGGGACTATGTGTGACAACTAATATTTCTGTGCAATATGGGTGCAGGCTATTGATATTAGGCCACGGTTGAGGTACAGATATTTCTGACCTTCATGACATTTGCAACAGCAGATTCCTTAATAGCCTATATTGGGAAATTATGTGCACATTATGAGAGGTGCCCATGCACCTTTCAGTCACCAGGCCTCCTGGAGCATATCTGGAGAGGGTTTCGGGAGTTTTCCTATTCCCCTGAGCTTGGTCTTAGGCCAGGCTCGACGCTTGATCCGAACCCTCTCCCCGTGTATCTATCGAGCCTATTGTTAAATCTAGCTATACTATTTGCTTCTATGATGTTGGCCAGAAATCTATTCCACTCATCTATCACCTTGTTGCCAAAACAATACATTCCCATATCCTTACAGTATCAGAGCATCTCCAGTTTATAGCAATTGTTACAATTTTTTACCTGGTCTGATAGTTTCAAGACCTTGCCCATATTTTCTCTGTTCATACCAGTCATCCACTTGACTCCAATAATATCTCCTTGCACTCTCTGCCTCCCCAGGGAATGCCAGCCGAGATTTCTTGACTCTCCTCGAATAGGTCTCAATTACCAGGGATCCAGGGACCAAATAACTGCAAGGGATCAATTAGGTCATCCTAAGTAAGATTTTTTTGCAAGGGGGAGAGGGTATGGGGTTCAATTTCCACTCAGTAATATGGTGACTCAGTGTAGTTTAATTGGTGACTCACCAGGGCTAAATAAAAAAAAATTGACAAAAATACTTTTAACAATTTTAATAAATATTTTTGGTACATTATAGGTGGGTGGGATATGTGCAGTATGTAGGGTAGTGAGTATATCGCGAGTGTATTATCAGTGTCATCTTGAGGTGATTTTGGGGCTTAGCATCCCCCACACCCTAGTCCTCGACCAGGCTTCCATTTTGTTACACACCCCCAGGAAGCAGCCTGTAGCAGCTGTGTGACTCCCATATACCTACTTACTGCTAGATGAACAGGGCCATCAGGGTGAAAGAAACTTGGCCCATTTGTTTCCTCCTCCACTGGGGATCGAACCTGGAACCTTAGGACTACAAATCCCGAGTGCTGTCCACTCAGCCGTCAGACCCCCAGGTGTAGGTAGGTGTAGGCGGCTGGTGTACCTACACCTGAGGGCACTAAGTGTACCTACGCCTGTAGGTACACTGATGTGTACCCACACCTGGCTGGAAAATGGGTGCTAAAGTTCAACTCGGGAAAGTGTAAAGTAATGAAATTAGGCGAAGGGAGCAGGAGGCTGAACACAAGGTATCATCTGGGAGGTGAAATCCTGCAAGAGTCAAATAGAGAGAAAGATCTGGGGGTTGATATCACACCGAACCTGTCCCCAGAGGCCCACATCAAAAGAATATCATCAGCGGCATATGCTAGACTGGCCAACATAAGAATGCCTTTAGAAACTTGTGGAAGGAATCGTTCAGGACCCTGTATACCACTTATGTAAGACCAATCCTGGAGTATGCAGCTCCAGCCTGGAGTCCATGCCTAATTAAACACAAGACAAAGTTAGAGAAGATTCAGTGGTATGCCACCAGGCTCGTCCCGGAACTGAGAGGAATGAGCTACGAGGAAAGGCTAAAGGAGCTGAACCTCACATCCCTGGAAAACAGAAGAGTAAGGGGAGACATGATAACCACCTACAAAATTCTCAGGGGAATTGACAGAGTGGACAAAGACAAACTCTTCAGCACAGTTGGGACACGAACAAGGGGACACAGGTGGAAACTTAGTACCCAGATGAGCCACAGAGACTTTAGAAAGAATTTTTTCAGTGTCAGAGTAGTTAATAAATGGAATGCACTAGGAAGTGATGTGGTGGAGGCTGACTCCATACACAGTTTCAAATGTAGATATGACAGAACCCAGTAGACTCGGGAATCTGTACACCAGTTGATTGACAGTTGAGAGGCGGGACCAAAGAGCCAAAGCTCAACCCCCGCAAGCACAATTAGGCGAATACAATTAGGTGAGTACACCTGGGGGTACGTGCACTAAGCCACACATACCACCCCTGCGGGTGGTATGTGTGGCTTTGTACATATACCACCCGCAGGGTTATAAACCCATGGACCCACCTACCCGCTGAAGCCCTAAAAGCCAAAAAACTCTGTTGAACCTTTACAAATTTAGCTTCGACAAATCACCTGGAAAAATGGGGTGGGAGGGGGGGGACCTTTGACAAGCCGCCAGCTTCCCGTCCTCGTCGAGGTGTGTTAGTGGCCCCTCAGGTAAATGCCGACTGTATGGGGGTGAGTACTCACTGTAGATGGTTGTTTTGGCCAGCAAGCAGGTGGTTCTGAACGTAAGAATTGGACTGTGACGCGGGCTTGATACTGGACGTGGCAAGTCCGTGGAGCTGGAAGTCCGGGTCACAGCTGATGGAGCGGTCGACGAGCGGCGGCCCCACGGGCGTCGAGGTCAAGGGATGCCTGCCTCCTGCCGCAGGCCCGGGTGACTCCATCATCCTCCTCCTCCTTGACACACACACTCTCTCTCTCTCTCCCCTCCCCGCCCCTTCACCCACTGCTACACGTGCCTCGGGCCCCTCGTGCCAGTGCTCAGGTTAACATTTTGACCCAACAGTTGTTCACCAGCTCGATTTTATGACACTTTTACGTCAGACAGACGTCATCTGTCGACGACGATAACAAGTTTAATACTCGCTACTTTCACCGTGGGGTGAAAAAACCACACAGTGAAACACCACACAAAATCCTGCTTAATTCATAGATTAACGCCACCTACGTTACCTAAACCTTATGGATAAATTATATTCCAGTGTTTTAGCTAATAATTCAGGGTTTTCTTAGCTCAAAAATACCAATTTATGAAATATTTAGACTTTTATTGCATGTGTATTTTGTGTTGAAATAACCTTTGACAACTCTTTCGGAGACAAGATAATACACAGCCAAGAAATATATATATTATCATACACTAGTTTCACCATCATTATATTAATATCTGATCACCCCAATTTTTTGTTAACAAGAAATTATAAGTTATATATGCTCGCAATGAGAGATGAAGTGGCTATCATATTTTAATTAATCATTTAGGTATTGGGTGAGTAGTTGACTCTCTATTATTGATCACTGGTCAAATGTATACACGGATATAAACAATTATTGAACACATGTTATAGGATTTCTTTCATTCAGAAGCTGATCACCAGTTTTAATGGAAAGAAGATTTTAAAGTGAAAACAAATGGGTAGAGGATAATAAATATTCATTCAGAAAAATAAACCCGTCCAAAATTCAGTTGGGTAAAGCAGCTGAAGACGGCGGGTTCGTCCCTGGTAAGTCTTACTTTTACCCTATCCTCGCCCCCGTACGTGCTCTCGGCTCCGACCTCTCCACACCTCTCACACCACTGGTGCCATATTTTTACCCCGGCTTCCCTAACGTTCAGAGACCGAGTGGTGTGAAAACTATTGGTAAAAATGTGGTTAACGCGAATCAGCTGATTGATCGGTGTGAACATTGTTGGAACAGCTGTTGTGATCTGAGAGACTATGTCAGCCTCACGCACTCACTCTTAAACACACTCCCCTACCCTCTGGTCTCGTACATTTATCCCCTCCACGAGCTATCACACACGTTTTGTGATGGTGGTTTAGAAAATTTGCTGGTGTTTGTGTTGTGTGGAGTGCGTATATCGTCATTTGAAGTGTAGCGTGTGCGTGACCCGAGTGTAAGCGTCGCTCCAGCACTCCTGGCCTTGTTTACTTGCGACGTAGTTCAACAACAAAGATACTGCAGGATGGAGAGTGAAATATAGTGGCTATGTTCCGACTAGGGTTAGAAACTTTCTCCAAGATGCCGTGGTACTTCCCGTGGTCGGATGCCATCAAGAAGAGGGCGATTAGATACCTCCTTCAGCGATATGTTGGACAATTTCTGGAGGAGAAGCTCAGTCTGGATCAGCTGACCGTCGACTTGTACAATGGAACTGGAACTATAAAGGAATTAACATTAGATATGGGTGCATTAAATGAAGTAGCTGACCAGCTCAATCTTCCTCTCAGGTTCGTGGATGGGTACATTGGTGAGATTTGTGTTTCCATCCCATGGCATGCCTTGCTCTCTGAAAGTTGCTTTGTTGAAGTTTCAGGGCTGATGGTGACTATAGAACCAAAACAAATGTCCGAGGACATATCTATGGTGGACTCGATGATCGAGTCAATGAACATGACAACTTCCATGCAAATAGCTCAGGAGTGCCTTAATCACCATGAAGAAGAGAGTGAGATGGAAGGTATTACAGATAAAGATGCTAGTCAGATAATTGAGGGCATTGAACATTTTGCTCAGGCAATAGATACTGTACTTAATAGAATTAAGGTTAGATTTCTTGACACAATTATCAGATTAGAGCATACTCCAAAAGGAAGTCAGTCTGGCGTTTCTTTAGAAGTAAGAATTAGCAAGATAGATTACTTTGATGAAGCTGGACTAGGGAAAACTACTCCAACTGAAACAGGTAAACCAGGATATGAACAACAAGCATTTGCATCGAAGAAGTTTCATATTGAAGGTTTAACTCTGTACACAGATGAGTTCCCTGCAAAGTCTAAAGCAAAGTCGGCAATAAATCCTTCATCGGAATCAAATTCATCTCCAGAGTCAGGTTCTAAAGTCTCGGGCTCTGGATCTGGTGATTCTTTTAAGACTGCAGAAACATCTCCTGCTGAAGATAAAAAATTTGAATACAATCATGAGAAAACAGTTCGTAAGTTGATCACCAATTCTAGCATTCCTATGGAACCAATTCTGTTTGCAAGATTTACTGGGTCACAAGAAATTAGCTTAAAATTAAAACAAGCAGATGTCATGGGACCTAAAGTAGATCTAAGAATGGTCTGTGGATCACTTATCATGTTTCTATCTCCGAGGCAGATTCATTTACTCCTAGAGCTCTCAGAAGGTGTGGCATCTCCAGACAAGTTGGAATTGGAACCCAGTGTGCCTAGGATGGTAGGGGGAAAGCAGAAACCTATGGATCCAAATGATTTCAGGAAAGTTGAAAATGAGCTTCTCAGAGAGTTGAGAACACCACCTGTGTCCAGTCATGCGCTGAATCAACATCAGGGTTGGTCAAATGCTCCTCTAGAGGACAGTGATGATGAATTTGTCCCCATGGGTAGTGGCAGTGGAGGACTTGCGAAAAATATGTCGAGTAGTCAGCTGTCGGGTTGCTCGGATATGGATAGCTCATTCAGTTCGAACATGTCTTGCAGCACAGTCAGGTCTACCTCTGCTAGCGTGTCGGCCACACCATATCGTTATACAGGTGCTGGAGTGATGATGGGAGATCATTTTATCAGCGGATCAGGAAGAAAAAAGAGTGAGCATAGTGGTAGCAGATTAACACATGATCCTTCAGCAGCTGTAACTCATTTTAGAGTGCAAATTAGCAGTGTAGCAGCTGTGGTTCTCCATGAAGATGTTCTAACAACATCTGTAGAAAACTCAAATATGGTGTCAAAGGCATCAGTAGCTGAAATGCAAGCAAAATCTGAAGACTTTTTTACAATTCTAGGTGTGCATGGGTTATTTGGCTATAGTTTTAATGCATTTCAAGAAGCTAGGAAAAAATTCAATGAAGCCTGCCAAATTAATCATCTAAGATTTATGGCAGCTCCATTAACTGTGGAAGGAAATGAGAAAAGCTCCACAAATAAGTGGGAAATGAGTGTAAATATGTCTTTAGGGTGTGCTGAAATACTTGAGTGCCTTGTGGATTCTTCAGTGTCTCCAGTAAAGATAGAATATTCAGATTTACTGTTGTTCACAGAAAAGATTGAGGAACCAACAGAAGCTATTTACAGTGGAGCCACTGAACCCAAACTTAAAGTAAGCATTTCTCAGTCTCAAAATATGACTCCCACTGGCAGGACCCGGAGGATCAGCAAACCTAAATTAGATATTAAAGTTAATCTGGGTGACTGTGTTTCAGAGATTGACATGTCTATTGTAGATCGTATTAGTGCTCTAATTAATAGGCAAGAAGTGTGTACAAAGGCTGCTGAAGAAATGTTTTCCCCAGAGCTTCCACCTAGTTATTTAAACAATCAAGCTTGCTTTAAGCAAACTCTTGATGATGCAACTTTGCATCCAGAAACACGTGTCAATATTAAAGTTTCTTCAACATCCTTAACTGTCAAACTTAGGTTTCCAATACCTGATTTAAGACCTACATCTAATATGGACAGAGTGCCATGGTGGAAGAGAAATATTAGAAAAGATGTCTTGTCATTGGTATTACAAGATTTTGAGTTTGTTACCAACCTAGATCCTCACATGCCTTACAGTAATTTTGAGATTCAAAGTGGTGATATACATGCATATTTTCAAGAGCGAGAAGAAGATGCTCCAATTTCGCTGCTGCAAGCCTGCTCTAGTAAAGGTGCCGAAAGAGGGTTTGATCTTCCTCGTGTTGTTGTAATGGTTCATCCGCTTCAGCCATGGACGTCTCTGGAAGACGAAGCTCCTAGACAAGAAAGTATCATGACCAAATCTATGATGGGATTTTTAGAAGCAGTAACTGAAACAGAACCAAACCCATTTAGCCGTAGAAAAGTTGCTACAAAGCAAGCTGGAGATGATGATGTTGGAGAAATTACTATTCCTGCTGACAAGGAAGAAGTTCTAGAATTTATAGAAAATATACTTAAAAATGTTCAGTTGCATATAGATATTCATTTACCTAATGCACAGTTACTATTACCCTCAAAACATATATATGAAGTGGTGTATAATAGATTAGTGTCAGACCTCTTGCTTTGGGAACCCTCGGCACCCAAACCAGCAAGTCATAGCACTCGCAACCTGGGTGTTGCTCATGGTGGGCTCGACTTGGCCTCAGTGTTTATGAATGAAAGTATTTACCAAAGCACAACACAGTTTACTATGTGTACTTCAGCAAATGCAGCTGGAAGTGATAGTGAAGAGGAAGGAGATTCACAGTTCTTTTCAGTGTATGAGCACAAAGCCAGGCAAAGACTTAAACAGCAGCAGCAGCAGCAGCATCAGCAGCAGCAACAACAACAGCATGAACCAAGCAAGAACAAGAAACAAACAACTGTGGCATTTAAACTCTCAATGGGTCATGCTGTGGCCAGTGTACGAACCCCATACAGAGATGCCAAGAACAATGTGCTCCCAGGACAGCATGGGGAAGTAATGCTAGTCATTGAACAAGGAACAATATTTGCTACAACTGGTTACCAAGGAAGTCCAGACTTGGGATACACTTGCATCTGGGCTGACAAGGGGCATATATATCACAAAGCGGCCAATATTACTCCTGACCGTCCAGTAATATTAGATCCCGAGTCTCCCCTCTCTACCTCTCGGTTAGACGCTATACTTTACCCTAATGATGATGGTGTTATAACAAAGTTAGGTGCAGGAATCAGCAAGAGTGAAGACTGCGAAGATCAAATCACCTTGGCATTAAAAATGGATTTTGATTTGACTCGGAACCTGAAAACTATTATTTTAGCTGGTTGCATGAGAGGAGCTACTCTTCGTCATTATATGTGTACAAGTCCGGAGAGTTGGGTCACACAACTTGGAGATATGTTTGATGTTCAAGATTATCCTATTGCAGGATATGTGCTTCCAGATGTTGTCACAGAAATGAACTTTCACCTATGGGGCTGCGCTCTGGATTATCGTCCTCTACACCTGCCATTAAGAGCAATGTTAACTGTTGATGCATGCTCTATTTCTAGTAATTTAACAATTTCCAGTGATGCAAATGTTTTACATTTCATTATTGAAGATGCAGCTCTATTTTTATCTGATAAACTTTCTGTGCGTAACGTGGACTTAAAGAAAAACTACATTTGTGTGGCTGATTTAGGGGTCTTTGAGTTGTGTTTAAGAATGGTGGAAGATATGAAAGAAAAGAAACCTAAAATTGATTTACTGGCATCTAATAATATGATTCACATTCGGACTTGTGCAGATTCTTGCAAAGCATTGCTGGAGCTCATGATTTATCTGGCCAGTGATGGAGACCTAACAAAAGAAGCATCATCGGTGCCTTCAACAGAAGCTGCTGCACCTACCAGCACTTACAATACTAGTGCAACGTCGTCTCCCATCAGTGAATGTGCTACTATGAAACCTGAAACTCAAGAGACTATTTTCAACCCACGGATGAGAGAAAGTGATTCCCAGCAACTGGAGATGGTTAGGGGTATGATGGACGATGCCATGATTGAGTCGACACCTTCAACATCTTCCTGTGATGAAGATGATGATGCTGATCCGTCTCTGTATTTGAAGAAAGGAGTTGAAGTGTTTTTCTTCCCAGATGATAACATGAAGCAAACTGCAGTAACAGTGCCAACTGTTCAAAAAGATACATCAAAGAAAGACGAGGCAGCTAGTGAAACTGAATTGACAGACACTGAATATGCCTTGAAAGAAGCACAGAAAGAACAACTGGATAATCCATTTGAGGAATATAGCTCTGGTACTGATGAAGAGTTTTGTATTCTTGATGACGCACCTGGCACAGGAATAAAGTCTCCATCTGGTGAACCTCAGGTGCGTATCTTGACTCAGGATCCTGTTATCATTATTGACAACCACTTCACTGTTCCTCTTGGTAAAGTTGATCAACTCAGGGCTCCTAAACACTTCCCTGCTGCATCAATGAAGTATACTCTTCAAGAGTTAACAGTCGTGTGGCACATGTATGGTGGTTCTGATTTTAAGAAACCATCACAAGGTACACTTCTGCAGACGCGTCGTGTTACTATCAGTGATTCAAATGGCAATCCAGACTCTGTTTGTGGAAATTATCCATCCAAAACATCTTTACCTCAGAAGACTTATATAGCAACAGAACCCTCTGTAACAGTAAGAGCTAGTGAGGTTCATTTTTCAAATAGGCACGTATCTCCTACAACTTTCAAGAAATCTCCACCCCATAGTCCGCACCAACAGTCTCGAATGGTGTGGCAAGCAGTTGGAGGCCCAGGTCGGAAACATGACACTCTTCTTGAATTACAGTTGAGTAAGGTTCGTTTTCAGCACGAGATTTATCCTGAAACTGCTCAACAAGCATCCCGCAATGTTCTTCTCATTTATGATGTAGAAATAAAAGATAAGCTTGCTTCTTCCAAGATAAATAAGTTCTTGTATCAGTTTTCATCAGAGACATGTCCACGTCAAGCTCATGCAAATATGGTTCAGGTGAAGGCTCTTACCACAAGACCTGATGGACGGCATGGACCTCAAGAAACTAGTCTCAAGATCTCTTTGCAACCCATTAGACTTCATGTAGATCAAGATGCACTTCTTTTTTTATTTCAGTTCTTTGAGGAGCTTCTTGCATCTGACAAGGAGGGAGAAAGTGGAGAGGAAGAACGACCGCAATCATCTACTTTGGTGCAAGCTCCGATAATGACTGTAAATATTAATCAGGCTGCTCAACTTAGTGTTACAGATAATCAACAACTCCTTGTTAACTTAGAAGAAAAATCACCCGTATCTGATACAGAGGAAAAAAGTAGCAAGGCTGATGAAAATTCTCCAACGTACTTTAAATCATTTGTGTTCTCTCCTGATGTGCCTATAAAGATTGATTACCATGGCAAGCATGTAGATATTCATTCTCAGTATGGTTATTTTATAGGACTTATAATTGGATTAGGACAACTTAATCAGTCTGAATTGACTTTAAAGAGTATTGTTCATAAATCAGGTCTCCTGGGAATGGACAAATTGATTCAGTACGTTACTAACGAATGGGTGAATGACATTCGACGTAATCAACTCCCATCTGTTTTAGGGGGTGTTGGGCCAATGCATTCTGTTGGCAAATTGGTTGGTGGTGTTAGAGACTTATTCTTATTGCCAATTGAGCAGTATCAGAAAGATGGTAGACTATTTCGTGGTATTCAGCGTGGAACATCAGCCTTTACGACTTCATCAGCACATGCTGCTCTTGATTTAACAGGACGATTTGTTGGATTCATTCAGTCAACTGCAGAGACAATGTATGACATGGTATCTTCTGGTCCCAGTGTTCATCATAGATATAGATTACGTAGTGGTCACCCACAGGATATCCGTGAGGGAGTTACTACCGCATATGGAGTTGTTAGAGATGGTATTGGAGAGACAGCTTCAGCAATTGTGCAAGCGGCTACACAGGAACATCAACACAAAGGTGTATCAGGAGCCATCGGAGGAGTCCTTCGACAAATACCACCCACTGTTATGCAGCCAATAATCTTAGCATCAGAAGCTGCTGGTACTGTGATAGGAGGAATGAAAAACCAGTTAGTGCCTGATGCTCGTAAAGAAGCGGCTGACAAGTGGAAAGCATAAGTGAATATAGTAAAAATAAATATGAAGTGATGGATGTTCATCTCCAACGCCCTTCACATCATTGGCATTAACAGAATAGGGTTTTATCTAATTGTACTGTATTGTTATTTCTGTGACTGCTGCACTGTGCCAGTTTGTAGTTTATTAGTTTATTTCTGCAAGACTTGCAAATGGACATTATGGAAACATGTATTTTCAGGATTCTTCTAAGTCGGAAACATGCAGATTGTGCCTCACTTTGTTACTGTAAAGTTGATGTTTATTTTAATTTTATGTTTGTGATAATGAGTAGTCTATGTACCAATGAGTGTTTTTTTAAGCATAGTTTAGTTAATTAAAAGTAAATTGATGACTGTTTTATATGCGTTTATGATTGTTGCACATGTATGAGTATTGATACTATGGTCTCAACTTTTATTTATTTATTAATTACCAAGCCTGGTTAAAGTGCTATATATATATACAGTATATATAATATACAATATATATACACAATATATATATATATATATATATATAATATGGTACATGTACAATTTTTTAATTTTATGGCTTAAATTTGAGCATTCGGTATTAGTTTTACCCCTACAAAATTACTATGTACTGTATGTACAAAGAATGCACAAGATTACATAATCTGTTGCAAGACAAAATGTAATATTCAGTACTAGAGGAAGTTAAGAAATTGTAACATCTTGCTGAAGAGGAGTGTTAATCAAGATTAATGAGCTGCTGATAAGATTCTGCTAATATTTTACAAGACACATTTGAAGTTTCTCCTGAATTCGGGAATGAGAAACTGCCTCTTCTATTATTGCAACAAGTGAGTTACTTCTTATATACTGTACTGTATAGGATTGTAAATATAATGTTAAAAGAATCTGTAGTATCTGATAAATTTTCTATAAATAACATTTATACTGTAATTAAATGCTTAACTTATATTTAATTTTCCAGTGCTGTAGGTTTTTAGCTATGCAACTCGGTTAAATCTTGATGCAAGAACCTTACAACCTCAGGATAGTTTTATGCTTAGTCACAATAGGTTGGCAATATACAGCTGGGTTATAGTGGTGCTTCGGAGACACTGGAGAATGCTCGATTGATTGCCTGGATTGATTGCTAGAAAGTATATTAAAAAAATCACAATGTTCTTTAAAAATAATTATATACACCAAAGGACTGTTGTGTTTACTGTTCTCACAGATTAGTCTTCTGAAGCTTTGTGTCTGGTCCAGTGTCCTCATGCAGGTTGAGCTCTGCTCTTTCGGCCCGCCTCTCAACTGTCAATCAATCAACCATAATTTTTTTCACACAGGTGGAAACTGAGTGCCCAAATGAGCCACAGAGGTATTAGAAAGAACATTTTTAGTGTCAGAGTGGTTGACAAATAGAATGCATTAGGAGGTGATGTGGTGGAGGCTGACTCCATACACAGTTTCAAGTGTAGATATGATAGAGCCCAATAGGCTCAGGAACCTGTACACCTGTTGATTGATGGTTGAGAGGCAGGACCAAAGAGCCAGAGCTCAACCCATGCAAGCACAATTAGGTGAGTACACACACAGGAGGCAGCAGTAACAGCTGTCTAACTCCCAGGTACCTATTTACTGCTAGGTAACAGGGGCATCAGGGTGAAAGAAACTGCCCATTTGTCTCCGCCATTGCCGGGGATCGAACTCCGGTCCCCAGGATTGCAAGTCCTGAGTGCTGTCCACTCAGCCACTAGGCACCTTTGAGAGCTCTCACACGCCCTTGTAATGTGAGAGAGGTTAGCATGTAGGAAGGTATACAAATATATAAGAGTGTAAATGCATTAAGACAAATCTTTATGGGATATTTTTGGTGAATTACAAACATAAGAGCATAGCCTGACAAATCTAAATGTAACATTACATTAGTGTTTCCATTTTCAGTATAAACCCTAAATATTTGTATGTTAACTGCCTGAATAAGAGTTTTTCATTGCATCATTGGTATCAATACAGGAAAAATTATTTTTTCTTCCACAGAAGAAATTATTATGTCAAAATATTTGATGCTCCCTATCGCAAGACATTTGTCATTTTCCTGTGCTTGTGCCTGCTGGAGAAATGTATTACCAGTATTTGGACAAGGGGGATTTGCTTCAGTTATTAAAAGGTAATTTTTTTAATACTGTATTTCAATTGATCATGTTAAAATACACTTAGCCTCTAGAGTTTTCATTGTATTTGTTGTGTATATATTTTTTTTTCAATTGTTACATCATATTTGTATATATCATTTATATTGGGATAAGCACAGCCATTTGTTTGTGGTAATATACTGTTTTATACTTTAAATTATAATCCGCAAATCTGTAGGTTGACTGGGGTCTTAATTTTTATACAATAATATTATCTATTCATATATTTGACGATATTATCACCTAATCTAACATAATTAGATCATATTATGGTAGATTTGCTTACTTTGCTTCATGTTTACCCACAAAACAAAATAAGAGATAGATTTTCCTCCATATTTGTATCATTAATAACAAAAATAATATTTATGTAGGCAAGAGTACATACAAGCATTCGGTACATGACCAGTGGAGGATTCATAAGTAAGATAAGTACAGTGCCTAAAGCCACTAATACGCCAAGTGTTTTGGCGTATCATAGCTGTACCATAGGCCAAATGGTAGTATTTGGCCTATGGTACATGCACTTTCACAAAACAAATGCTGCAATTTCTGTCACAAAACCGATTATGTGCCTCTGTAACACTTTCCACCACCACTCCCACGGGATGGGTATGGGGTGCATAAAGTAAAAATAACCTGAATACAGTACAATATTCTAATACCGAATATTTTGATATTAATTTATAATTTACAAGAAAATAATTTTGCATGCACAATGTTGCTTTAATCTGAAAGTATTATAGTACAGTATTGTATTATTTTTGCTGATATGTGTATTCAACCAACACGTGTTGTTGTAATCAATTAAATTTGAATGTTGAATTACATTTGTCCCATCATAACTTTTCTGGTAATATGCAGGCGATGAGTCCCAATAACATGGCTAAAGTATGTTGACCAGACCACACACTAGAAGGTGAAGGGACGACGACGTTTCGGTTCGTCCTGGACCATTCCCAAGTCTCGCAATCGACTTGAGAATGGTCCAGGACGGACCGAAACGTCGTCGTCCTTTCACATTCTAGTGTGTGGTCTGGTCAACATTTTCTGGTAAGTTTGCAATATTTTGCTATAATATTATCCACCTAGCAGCATAGATATAACTTGTGTACATAGGTTTCCTGGTGACCTTCATTCCAACCTCGTGTCCTAATTCCTTGTCCTCGTATTCCTTCCAAGTGCTATGTAGTCATACTAGTTTAATGTTCTCTCCTGATGATAATCAATTCTTCAGGATTCACACTTCAGGCTTTGCCGCTCAAAAGCAAAACGGTGCTGTAAATGTTTTTGATCGCCACAGCAAGTTACTACAGAGGGAGAGAGCTGCTAGAGATCCAGATGTTGCCATTTATGATTATCTGAAGGAGGAGGTAGGACTTTGGTTTAATTACAAATCTGTAAGATTTTATTATTTTAATTCACTTAAATTTGGTCTCTATTGAGGTTTAAAACTTGTACAGTACAGTATTAGACCTGAACATCAAATATAAATGCTTATCATATTGTATTAACTTTAAAGAACTTATTCATGTACATTTATCATCAAATATGTTTATTGAAATGATTTATTTTGTTTATTACAACTATCAACTTGATGGCAAAAATGCTTTAGTGTCTATTCATACAAATTTAATTACAATATTAACAAAGTAATATATCTTAATGAGGTGACTTGTCTAGGCATATTAGTGGATGCCTAACACCATTGTGTCCTGTAGAGCAGAACCTCTCATACTTTGTAAAGGTGTCAGTGTCTCGCCTGCTCCATTTCTTGAACTGCGGTTACCTTGCAATGATTTCGGGGCTTAATGTCCCATCAGCCCTGTCCTCGACCAGACCTCCTCGTTGCTGGACTGGTCAACCAGGCTGTTGAAAGCGGCTGCTTGCAGCCTGTTGTATGAATCATAGCCACAGGGTGTGCATTCTTCTACCTCCCATCATAATGCTGCTCATTTAGAATCTGCCTGGGTGCTGGATATGGTGTTGGATTTGCCTTCTCACTTCAGGGTGCTGTTGAACTGAGGATCTAGCCTAGAAGTGTGTTCCGTTTAGTTAAACTTAAGTTGCTGCAAAAGGGTCTTGTAAAAATCTGTCCATTTCAAGTGGGGAGTACTGTACACTTTATTTTGTACTGGTATCTTAGTCTTTTTATCTTTGGCTCCTTCAGTGCTGCTTTAAATTATTTAAATTTGTTTATTTGTTAATCCAGTCTGAATAACTATTTCAAATTTATAAGGGGCATAATGAACCAAGATACGATATGTAGCATCATAACTGCATTTGGCGTTGTATCTCTATGACTTGTACTCGAATTAACATGGAATTATTTAATTGCCCATTTTTAAGGAAGAAATTTTACCATGGAGACAAGGTCACATTTTTATTACTCTTTCAGGTTGGCTATCGTTTGTCAGATCGTATTTTGGATGTAAAACGTGAATTGAAGACTGGTTTAGACCTGGGCTGTGGAAGAGGCTTTGTCGCCAAGAATATTACAGATGTAAATATGAATTGTCCAATTTATTTGGTTAAACATTGTTTATCAGTAACAACAATTCTTTTACAGTATGCATTTTTATTATATTCATATTTAGTTGGCAGATACTTGGTGTGCAGTATACAATATATTTATTACTACAAATTTTTAACCGTAGTGCTTGCCTATTCCCTTAGTTTAGAAGGGAGAGTGCCACATAAATTAATAAGAATTAGTGTAGTACTGTACAAACAAATTATTTGAATTTATTCATTATTTTATTTTTATCTAAGAAAAAGAAGTACAGTAATCCTAAAATTACAATATTTTTTAATTTTCAATATTTTTACAGGCTGAATTACAACATCTTTATATGAGTGATTTTTCTCCGGCAATGTTGGAAACTGCGCAGACGCCAGAAAATGTTGGATTTACTAAATTGATAATTGATGAAGAACAAAGATTTCCACTGGAGTCCAATTTTTTTGATCTGGTTATTTCAAATCTCAAGTAAGTTAAATAAAATTTTTGTTTACATTTTTCTGTTTGTTTTTGTAACTTAAGATTGGTTTAAATACAAAATGAATGGAGAAAATTACTACAGTGCCATAGTGCTTGAGTGAAGGTGAAAGAAAGGCCCAATATGTGTATGTATTAAAAATCAAATTTTGGGAGGTAATCTACATCTTTTCTCAAGGTACTGTATACAATGTTCACATTGTATACAGTCATGTTATGACTTTATAATGACTTAACAAGACTCAATAATGGTTCAGGACAGACTGAAACATTGCCATTTTTCCATTTTCTGTTGTGTGGTTTGGTCATCATATATTCAGCCATATTATTGTGACTCGTTGTCTGCATACTCAAACATATATTAGGTCTTTCCTTCAAAATAAATTAATGTTAACTCAACCCATATAAGAAATGATGTGAAAGTGACAATGTTTTGGTCCGTAGTGATGGAGGAGTGTGTGTTGGTCTAAGGCAAGAGGGAAAGTGAGGTGAAAGGTCCAGGATAACTGAAATGTCATCACTTTCATTTCATGTGCTGGGGTTTGGGTTATTTGTTATAGCCATGTTATTGTGACTTATTATCTACATAAATTCATTTTGTTCATGCTGGCCATTTTAAAGACACAATTTAGTAACCAAAATATTAAATGCTAAACTTTGAGTGCCATCATTCAACATAACATAGAAAAGTACAGTACTGTACAACACATTTTGACATACAAATACCCAGTGTCAAAATACGATGTGCTATAAATCATAAGAGGCTTGTTTGCCCTTTTGTGTATGCCTCCCTATTATGGATTTAGAACAGGGCATCTATTATATTGCTTATTACACAACTTGTACACAATTCAGTGAATCAAGTTAATAAAAATTAAAAGCCGTTTTGGTTTTGATCTTTAGAAACATTAAAATACAGTAATATTAATTAAGACTTTTAAATTCATGATTGTTCCCTTTGTACATCATTCCATTAGCATATCTTGAGATGTTGAATCACTTGCCAGAAGACATTGGATATTAACCAATGGTACGGTTCTCTTCACAGCCTTCACTGGGTAAATAATCTTCCTGGATGCCTAAAGGAAGTTCATAGAGTGTTGACAAATGATGGAGTGTTTTTAGCATCAATGTTTGGAGGAGACACTTTATATGAGCTTCGTTCATCGTTGGTGCTAGCGGAGCTAGAAAGGGAAGGGGTAAGTTTACTTCTACATGTACTTAAAACCAAATAACATTTGCTAAAAACTTGTATGTACTTATTTGTCTATCACATTTGAAGCACATGTTCCTTGCCAGGTATATATATATATAATGTAAAGGCAGTAGTTACTGAATGGACAGAATGAACAAATGTAGCAAACTATCAAGATGTTACAATACTGTACTGGAAAGGAGTACTGTATGTCAATGTTTTTTGTTTCTTTCAGGGGTTTTCCCCCCATGTATCGCCATTTACGGAGATTCGTGACATTGGAGGCCTTCTCAACCAGTGTGGCTTCACCATGCTCACCATTGTAAGCATTTTGCTTTCTGTAGTAGCCTTGTTCTTATCATTCATATCCAAATTTGGCTAACAGCCTGTGTTTGTATTTCAGGCTTGTGCATTAATGTAGAATCTTAAAGTTGTGTTCAGTGTCTTTTAGCACCTCACTATAAATACCAAGTGCTCAGTTAACAAATTTAAAGAAATATTGGTATTTGATATGTTCAACTAATGCTGTAAAACATGAACTACATTTGATAAACAATAACCATTTTCTCAATCTTTTTATCACCTTGTAAAATATTTACAGTATAAATTTTTATTTACAATGTTTCCTTGAAAGGTTTAAGATATGAGAATTGGTTGAGGATGGAAATAGTCACCAACTGAGAAATTTTCTAGCTAAATATCTTAGTTTTGGTGTTGCATGTAAAGTTTTGCACAAGCAACAAATTTTAAGCAGAATTGTAATTTTTATCATTAATTTCAGGATGTAGATGAAATAATTGTGGGTTACCCTTCATTATTTGAACTGATGAGAGATTTACAAGGGATGGCAGAAAATAATGCAGGCATTAGCCGAAAATCTCACCTGCATCGTGACACCCTTTTAGCTGCGTGTGCCATTTATCAAGGTGAATAGCAACTCTTAAGACAACTCTGAGGTTGAATAACTGATCCCCGAGGCATAGGCAAGAGGAATTCAGAATGTATGGTTGTAATGTAACATTTACTTTTTATATTAAAGCTGCCCACATGCATCTGTGCTTTTGCAGTTTAATCTAAATTTAGTTAGGTTTTATTAATGTTTGCATTATTCTTAAGGAATATTGTCATTTAACTAGAGACAAGGCATTTGTCCCTTTGTTTAACACTTTCGCTCGGGGATGACGCAGCATTGTGTCATCCGTTTACTGGCGGTAATGCCGGGGATGACGCAGCATTGCGTCATCCACTTTAAAAATTCGCCAAAATCAGGTTTTTATCCGATTTTTTGGGGACTGGTTTTAAAATGTGCGCCGATGTCTTCCCATTTTCTTTGTTGAGCCTCGTGGCCCTCAGGCGGCTTGGCACATGCCGTGGGCCCATTGTCTTTGCTCCACTGTTGTGACCAATGTCGCCTCCCCTCGCATCTCAAACGTGTGAACATTTCGGCTATTTCCCGTGGCTATATTTCTTACTGCGGCTTTAGAAACTATCTACGCTTACTCCACATCCGGATGGGAAGGACCCCCAGCCGGATTATCACATTTTTCGGATAATGGTACTTTTTCACCTAAGAGTCCAAAAGTGACCATTTCCAACTATTTTTATAGTTGGGGAGCCGGTCGGCCGAGCGGACAGCACACTGGACTTGTGATCCTGTGGTCCTGGGTTCGATCCCAGGCACCGGCGAGAAACAATGGGCAGAGTTTCTTTCACCCTATGCCCCTGTTACCTAGCAGTAAAATAGGTACCTGGGTGTTAGTCAGCTGTCACGGGCTGCTTCCTGGGGGTGGAGGCCTGGTCGAGGACGGGGCCGTGGGGACACTAAAAAGCCCCGAAATCATCTCAAGATAACCTCAAGATAACCAAGATACTACAAAACAACATAATTTGAATTGCCTTGCCACATATAATTATTAAATATTCAACTAGAAACCTCAACTTACCTTGTTGGTGTTCGTCTTCTTGATTGATGCCACACATCTTGAAGTTAAGAATTCTTAACAATTTACGTAACCTATGCTAACACAACACTAAAATTAACACTTAAAATTACTGTATAGTTCATTAAGCAAAGTTAGTTTTGACTGCCAGCTGCTGAAGTCTCACTGGTTGAAGGCATTTGGGTTGTCTGTGAAGCCTCGCTGGTTGAAGGCACTTGCCTGTGGCGCCTCACTTGTTGAAGGCGCTTGGCTTGCCTGTGACGCCTCACTTGTTGAAGGCGCTTGCTTGTGCCTCACTTGTTGAAGGCGCTTGCTTGTGCCTCACTTGTTGAAGGCGCTTGCTTGTGCCTCACTTGTTGAATATGCTTGCTTGCGCTTCACTTGTTGAAGGCGCTTGGGTTGCCTGTGGCGCCTCACTTGTTGAAGGCGCTTGGCTTGCCTGTGGCGCCTCACTCGTTGAAGGCGCTTGGCTTGCCTGTGGCGCCTCACTCGTTGAAGGCGCTTGGCTTGCCTGTGGCGCCTCACTCGTTGAAGGCGCTTGGCTTGCCTGTGGCGCCTCACTCGTTGAAGGCGCTTGGCTTGCCTGTGGCGCCTCACTCGTCGAAGGCGCTTGGCTTGCCTGTGGCGCCTCACTCGTCGAAGCGCTTGGCTTGCCTGTGGCGCCTCACTCGTCGAAGGCGCTTGGCTTGCCTGTGGCGCCTCACTCGTCGAAGGCGCTTGGCTTGCCTGTGGCGCCTCACTTGTCGAAGGCGCTTGGCTTGCCTGTGGCGCCTCACTTGTCGAAGGCGCTTGGCTTGCCTGTGGCGCCTCACTTGTCGAAGGCGCTTGGCTTGCCTGTGGCGCCTCACTTGTCGAAGGCGCTTGGCTTGCCTGTGGCGCCTCACTTGTCGAAGGCGCTTGGCTTGCCTGTGGCGCCTCACTTGTCGAAGGCGCTTGGCTTGCCTGTGGCGCCTCACTTGTCGAAGGCGCTTGGCTTGCCTGTGGCGCCTCACTTGTCGAAGGCGCTTGGCTTGCCTGTGGCGCCTCACTTGTCGAAGGCGCTTGGCTTGCCTGTGGCGCCTCACTTGTCGAAGGCGCTTGGCTTGCCTGTGGCGCCTCACTTGTTGAACAACACATAACTTGTCTAATTGCTAGGACAACCTTCTTCCTCTTAACACCTCCAGAATGATTGATGCTGCTACCAGACAGTCTTGGCCAAAAATGTTCAAAGTTACTATGAAAATAAAAAAGTTATTTAAAAAAATTTTCACTAATGGCGCAGCACTGTGGTATAACACGAGGGACGGGAGCACATGGGTTGACCAGTGTTGGACGGGTCCACTTGGGGCAGCTATAGCACGTTAAGTAGGCCGCCAGGAGGAAAAAACTCACAATATTTTTTTATAGAAACTTCAGCCTGTGCACATTGCTTTTAGGAAACTTATTTGTTATTACATAATTACTAGTACTTATTTCAGTTGTTTTTGACTATGATTAATTGTTCTAAAATTAATGGTAATTCCTGTACCCAGGTGATCCCTCCCGACTTTCCCCTCCCACCCACCCACCCACCCCACCCCCTCCTCCACCATGTGTCTAGAGCCACAGATGGGATTAATACGGTATGGCCAAATTTTCACCCGGCCAAACCAGCTTTTATCCAGTTCCTGTGGCCATTTTGCCCGGATATTGTGACAACTTTATCCGATCACGATTTTGGCCGTATAAGGGCGTTTTCCGGATGTTCGAATCCCGGATAATCGTGGGGTTACAGTACAGTACTTATTTGTCTATCACATTTGAAGCACATGTTCCTTGCCAGGTGTGTGTGTGTATATATATATATATATATATATATATATATATATGTATATGTATATGTATATGTATATGTGTATGTATGTATGTATGTATGTATGTGTATGTATATGTAAAGGCAGTAGTTACTGAATGGACAGAATGAACAAATGTAGCAAACTATCAAGATGTTACAATACTGTACTGGAAAGGAGTATGTCAATGTTTTTTTGTTTCTTTCAGGGGTTTTCTCCCCATGTATCGCCATTTACGGAGATTCGTGACATTGGAGGCCTTCTCAACCAGTGTGGCTTCACCATGCTCACCATTGTAAGCATTTTGCTTTCTGTAGTAGCTTTGTTCTTATCATTCATATCCAAATTTGGCTAACAGCCTGTGTTTGTATTTCAGGCTTGTGTATTAATGTAGAATCTTTTAAAAGTTGTGTTCAGTGTCTTTTAGCCCCTCACTATAAATACCATGTGCTCAGTTAACAAATTTAAAGAAAAATTGGTATTTTGATATATTAAACTAATGCTGTAAAACATGAACTACATTTGATAAACAATAAACATTTTCTCAATCTTTTTATCACCATGTAAAATATTTACAGTATAAATTTTTATTTAGTGTTTCCTTGAAAGGTTTAAGATATGAGAATTGGTTGGGGATGGAAATAGTTACCAATTGAGAACAATTTTCTAGCTAAATATCTTAGTTTTGACGTTGCATGTAAAGTTTTGCACAAGCAACAAATTTTAAGCAGAATTGTAATTTTTATCATTAATTTCAGGATGTAGATGAAATAATTGTGGGTTACCCTTCAGTATTTGAACTGATGAGGGATTTACAAGGGATGGCAGAAAATAATGCAGGCATTAGCCGAAAATCTCACCTACATCGTGACACCCTTTTAGCTGCGTGTGCCATTTATCAAGGTGAATAGCAACTCTTAAGACAACTCTGAGGTTGAATAACTGATCCCCGAGGCATAGGCAAGAGGAATTCAGAATGTGTGGTTGTAATGTAACATTTACTTTTTATATTAAAGCTGCCCACATGCATCTGTGCTTTTGCAGTTTAATCTAAATTTAGTTAGGTTTTATTAATGTTTGCATTATTCTTCAGGAATATTGTCGTCTAACTAGAGACAAGGCATTTGTCCCTTTGTTTAATGTGAATTAGCAGTGGATTGGTAACTTGGTATCATATTGAATATATTTTCAGCAGTTAAAAAATGCTCCAGTAATATCAAGTTAATGTTGCATCAAAATTTTCAGTGTTAATTCATCTTTAAATTAATGTCATTTACCCATAAGTAATAACTAATGGCACCAGTGTTGCCTCATCCTATCTGGATAGATACATATCCTACACTAGTTACTCGAGGTCTTGTACCAGTGGTCCAGGAGAGCAGCCGTGGCAGAGGCAACACTACCTCATCGTGTCGTTATTATCCACCATCCTGGATTATGGTATAACGTGCAGCAGCTCCTTCAGCTGTGTACTTATCACGTGTACACAAGTGATATAGATACCAGAGGACAACATTTTTTTTTATTAAATTTCATTTGATAATTTTGATAATCAAAGAGAAAGCATATAACACACACATTTAGATGCTTGAATTTTTCTTCTATTGGTTGCCAGCCAATGCTCTACCTCCTGGCAGTCATTTTTTGGCTTTCAAATTTCTTCCAAAAAGATCCGAAACTGCATGTGATAGGCTGCTCAAACTCGGGGAGGGTTGCTAGGTGCACCACGAACGACTACCCTGGTGTAATACTCGGCCCAACAAAATAAAATGTAGCCAAACTATCACAGTCCATTTATATCTATTCATAGCAAATTTGAACCACTTATTAATCAGTTACTATACAGATGCATGTATTGAAACCATGCAAGTTTTTTTTTAATGACAAAATTTTGCTTAGTAACTTAACCGTTCTTTACAGAGATGTATGGGAAAGAGGAAGGAATTACAGCCACCTTCCAAATTATCTACATGATTGGCTGGAAACCTGACCCGAAGCAGGTAATATATATGCACCATAGTGCTGGCCAGTCGGGCAGCTTGCCTGCCCCCACTATCGCCCATTTATTAGCCAGATTTCCCACTTTCACACCTCTTTCCTTATACAGTTAAAAACAGTCTTAAAATTATTTAAGAGGCTTACTATCCCATATTGACACACAGTATATTGCAAGATGTCTTGTACAGTGTACTGCTGACACTTCACAACTTGTCGGTCTTGTATCACTATTTTCCTCCCGTTTTGACCTAGGATAAACAAGGCGATAGGCTACATGTTTGAGACCCACTATATGTTACATTGGCAAGGAAGTACAGTCCATATAATACCAATAACTTATTATTTTTTCCCTATTTCAGAAAGTAAACGTTGCAGAACGAGGCAGTGGTCAAATCTCCCTTAAAGATCTGCATAAGCTTGATGAAATGGTTCGTGAGGCTGGCATGGAGGGCAGGATAAAGTTTATGAAGGATGAAGTAACTGATGGTGGTAAAGGTAAAAAAGGTTAGAGCTGTGATAATGATAGGTTAGCAAGAATAGATATATTAATGCACTTAAGTTGGCATAATTCTAAAGAGATTTCTTTTGTTTTTATTAGGGGGGTCGATTTTGAAAATCAGTTTTATGGGTATAATTTGTTTACAGTGTGGCAGTAAATTGTATTTTTATATGATTAATGATATATTTATAAACAAGATGCATTGAATCATGAATTCTAAAACTAATATTCAGTATTTTGAGCACGCTTATAAATTAATCTTCCTAACATGACATTATTGTATTCCCTTTAAACTTCCAAAATAATATAGCATAGGCCAGGCTTTAGTATTTAATAAAATTTCATATTTTTTTATTTAAGATGTTGCACGAGAATAGTGATATCACTAAGTCATATTGTCGAATTTCCTTTGTTGTGTAACTTGCATTAGATATATCCTGAAGAAGCTACTGAGAGATGTATAATTTTTGTACGGTATCATAAAGCCATACCTGTTTCTTCAGGCAGCAATGGCTAAGTAAAAGGCTCAATTTTAATGTATTTACTTCAAAGCCACATAAGCTAGATATAAACTAGCCTCTGTACCCAAATATAATACCACATCATTGACCAAGTTTAAGCACAATACCATGAAAGCTTTGTTCTTGTGCCTGCTTGATAAACTTGTTATTGTTGAATACTTAAAACAATTTTGTCATGACTATCACATTGGTATTTGGTACTGTTTTTGGGTGGCTTATGTTGTAAAAGCTTGCAACTTCCTCGTATGTAGTTTTGGTAATTGTATATTTTTGTTGCATAGTTATTTTATATTGAAATACAAAGAATATTGTTTAAATTGCATGTTTCGTTCATCCCCCATTTTAAATACAGAATTACAGGATTTGTTTCATGTTTACTAGGTCGCAATGTTTCCTGACAAAAAATGATTTATATTGGCTCTATAGCTTAATGTAGGAAGAATATTCTTTGCTCGAGGGAACAGAAAAATGAAAATCCAATGATTCTAGCTCGGGCAATAAGCACCCACTGTTAAAAGCATCTTCATAGGGAAATGACCCCTTAAAGCAGAGGCTTCTAGTTCCATACTGAGGTGAACAGGCCCACCTGTGGATGATGAATCAGCTTGAATATCCAAAGAAAGGACGCTACATCTGACTCCGTCTCCATCAAAATTGGATGGTAGTGAGAAAGACCATCTGCAAGCAAGACCGATATGCTGAAGATATTGTCTGCGCTTAAGACTAAATCTTGAGAATCCAGAAGTGACACCCTCCTCAGAGTGCATTACTGCAGATGCGGGGAAAAAGTGAACCTCCTAAAAAATAACTAATGGGAGGCCATTTGAATGAAGATAGATCAGAGCATCATGCAAAGTGTGATGTGCTGAAGCAACATCCAGACTAAGACAAACTCCCCAGTCATAACACACTTTCACATTGGCTGCCACAGTGTTGGCTGCTGAAGGCCCCTGACCAGTATGGCAATTGAGACTTAAGAACAATTAGCAACACAGGTTACCCTTCAGGCTCCACAGACACTTAGAGGGGCCATCTGTTATGTTTAACAGGAAATATATTGTTAAGCCATGACAAATCTAATATGAACCAAGGCTTGGGCGAGTCTTCGCCACCAGTGACAAATAGGGATGCAACCCATATGAAATTCATAACTACATAATAAAGTGAATTTATTATGTTGTGGTCTAGTCATCTAGGGCATGTGCCTGGGGACACCCACCTCATAGGTTTGAATCCTCAACACAGCTCCTATGGATTTTTCTCATTGATGCAGTCATGTTAGTGCAAATACTGTGTGTATTGAAGGAGGAGTGTCAGAGGTAGAACATTCCTAGATAAAGTGAATACTGTAGATACTTTGGTGACAATCAGAAGTGACAGCAATAAATGCATAATCTTCCTTAATCGGAGAAAATGAGCACTTTCGTGAAACACTCACAACAATGGCTATAAGCTGGAGAAGAATCAGAATATGGGTAAAGTACTGATTTGGTAATAAGGTGGTAGATGAATGGAATAGTGCCAGCCAACACTGAGGTTAATGGAATAGCTTCCTTTAAGATGGGATTGACAGATATAAAGTGGAGGGATTGGATCTAGATGGGCATTACCCAGAATAGGCCAAAAGGCTTAAGGCCTATCTCTTGTAAATGTAAATTAATATAAAGAAACACGACATTTCATTATTTATTTTTGAAACATCTTCTGTACACCATAATTCTTGTTTCACTGATTATCTATACTATACAACCTCTGATAAAATAGTGTTTACAACTTTACTTATTATTTACAGTTTACCTTACCTGTTCCAATACAATCTTTTATTTCTGGACAATATGCCACAACCATTAAACAGAAATGGGCCACACCTCCCAATTATAATTTTTTGTAACATTTCGTTATGTCCACACAACTGTATTTAACAACTTTATTCTAAATATGTCATCTTACTTTAATTACAATTCATGGTTTTTTGGTGTAGGGGGAGGGGGGTGGCATTTTTTTCACTAAGGAATTTCTCCAGTGATAAAATGAAGCACATAATGCTCTCATCATTTTATCTTGAACACAAAAACCCTGACAAATGACTTGACAATAATGTACAATTTAGTTATCAAAGACTAGAAAATCCAAGAATACATACCGGAAGTTTTCAATGGCAGCACTCATACTCTCAACTCTATATAATAATAATTATTAACAATATATATTTCAATTCACACCCTAGGTATTATTTGAAATGATCATCACTTGAAAATATTAAACTTATAACAGAAATGTTAAACTGGGAACCTGTGGCATCGAATGCTGGTAATAAATTTTACCTGGATTGATCATGGCCTTAACATTTTGTTGGTTATAGAACTTTATATCAATACAATGAACTTATGAACTCGTACAATTGTACAATGCTATGACTATAGTAAATATAAGCTGCATGCAAATTTACTCAGTGGCAAGTAAACTGCATTACTTATCATGAGACTGCAACATGTATGCTTACACCAATATTACACAGTTAAAAATAGTGTTTACAAAACCATCAATGACATTGAATATAAAAAAAACCTGACATTGTCTGAAGTACCTGGTACAGTTGAAAATGTCTTTAAAAATATTGTATTTGCTGGTGTAAAAGACGGACCCTCGCATAGGACTATTGTGCAAGGACATTTTGTGGAAAAAAAACTATTTTAGTATGTTTCATCATACATTTAGAGAGAGATTTTAAAGTGGATTTTGTACCCCAACTCTTACCTCCTCTAAAATCAGTTGTTTTATATTTATTCAAGTATATATTATAATTATATTTATTATATTTGTATCTTGTTTCTATTTTGTACAAGAGAATTGCTATACAGGATGTGAAACTTGTATTTCTGGATGTGTTTTGTGTTGCCACACCAGGGCAGCATACCATCACAGCGCTCTGGTTTTGTTGTCATTTACTCATTGCAAATGGCTGATAGGCAGATGAAAGTTGAACATTCGTTTCAAATTTCTAGGATTTTTGGGGGGATGATAATGAATGAATGTCTCAAATGTATGAGTGTTACCTTGTCTTAAAGGTAACACTTGTTATATAATGTATGACATCAGGTGTGGGTTATGTATGGGTATGCTGGGTCAGGTGGAGAGCTGTGAGCTTCCTTCATAACTGCTGATGTATCGTAAGCAATTTTTCATACGTTTGTGGTAGTTCAGCTTGCTTTCAATATTTTATTATTATTAACACTATTTACTGTAATACTTTGGATTTTGTTCAATATTTTATTATCAGCAATGATTTTTGTGCCTAGTGAATTTAGCCAGTACTGTATGCTCGTTGGGCTCCCTTGCCTTTGGTGCTCGGTCTCACATCCGTAACACCTCCCCATTAGACGCAAGACAATTTTTTGTAACATTTAAAAATAAGTACATCTTATACGCCAGCAAATATGGTACTTGATAAATATTTGAGCACTAAAAGTTACAATATCATTCCTAAACAGTTAAATGAAAAAAATTACGCGTACAATAATATACAATGCATTCATCACACTTGATTAAAAAAAGATCTATAATACAAATACTGTAAGAACACTGGAAGTAAAAAATGTTTACATCTACCTTTATTACCAACATTTCTAATCTTCACCTAACACTTGGAATACCATTTTGAAAAATTTGTTTTGAAATATAAATACTGTACACCTATATATTACCTTTATAGAGCTAATCTTTTAGAAATGTTTTCAAAACGCTGTGTTGTTAAAATCATGATATCAGCAGCTAACTCCTCCACTGTTGTGTAACGCACACTGGTGAAGCTGAAGATATCTTGAAGCAACCCAACTATCTGCTCCTGAAATAAAATACTGTAGTTGAACATTTTGTCACTACATCAAATTTACTAATATTATACAGTGTGTGTGTGTTCGCCTATTTGTGCTTGCGGGGGTTGAGCTCTGGCTCTTTGGTCTCGCCTCTCAAATGTCAATCAACTGATGTACAGGTTCCCGAGTCTACTGGGCTCTATCAAATCTACATTTGAAACTGTGCACGGAGTCTGCCTCTACCACATCATTGCCTAATGCATTCCATTTGTCAACCACTCGTGCGCGTGTGTGTGTGTGTGTGTGTGTGTGTGTGTAATTACCTAAGTGTAATTACCTAAGTGTAAGTGTGTGTGAGAGAGATTATCTATCTATCTATATATATATCTATATATATATATATATATCTATCTATATATATATATATATATATATATATATCTATATATCTATATATATATAGATATATAGATATATATATATAGATATCTATATATATATAGATATCTATATATATATAGATATCTATATATATATATATATATATATATATATATATATATATATATACATATATATGTCGTACCTAGTAGCCAGAACGCAATTCTCAGCCTACTATGCACGGCCCGATTTGCCTAATAAGCCAAGTTTTCATGAATTAATTATTTTTCGACTACCTAACCTACCTAACCTAACTTTTTCGGCTACCTAACCCAACCTAACCTATAGAGATAGGTTAGGTTAGGTTAGGTTGGGTTGGTTAGGTTCGGTCATATATCTACGTTAATTTTAACTCCAATAAAATAAAATTGACCTCATACATATGGAAATGGGTAGCATTATCATTTCATAAGAAAAAAATTAGAGAAAATATATTAATTCAGGAAAACTTGGCTTATTAGGCAAATTGGGCCTTGCATAGTAGGCTGAGAAGTGCGTTCTGGCTACTAGGTACGACATATATATATATATATCACACACACACACACACACATGGAATGCACTAGGAAGTGATGTGGTGGAGGCTGACTCCATACATAGATTTAAATGTAGATATGATAGAGCCCAGTAAGCTCAGGAATCTGTACATCAGTTGATTGACTGTTGAGAGGCAGGACCAAAGAGCCAAAGCTCAACCCCCCACAAGCACAATTAGGCGAGTACAACTAGGTGAGCGCGCGCGCGCACATTTCAAAGCGTTATATGAGTGTTGGGAAGACAGGACACCACGAGCATCTCTCTCATCCTGTAACTACACTTAGGTAATAAAACACACACACACAAAGAGTTCTTACATTCTTGTAAAGCCACTAGCACGCATAGGATTTCGGGCAGGTCCTTAATCCTAATTTTTCCCCCCAGAACACGACCCGCCAAATCATTTAACAACCCGGTACCCATTCACAGCTGGGTGAACAGAGGTTACAGTTAAAGATTGGTGCCTGAAGCTATCCGAACTGATGTGTGCTATTAGTTTGGGGTCATCAGTCACAGGAGTTCTTATGCCTACCGGGAACTACAAGCCAGATCCTGGTCCCCCTCGTAGAGGCTCGGGCAGCAATGGCCTATGAGCACTTTAGATTTAAAGTATGTCATAACTGCCATCGACCGGGAAAGGACCCAGAAAGGTAGGTGAATTAAAACAGACCACTGTCTGGTTAACCTGTGCAATCTACTTCCCAAAAGATCAAAATAACTCTCCTAGAAAGAAACCAGAAAAGCAACACTTCATGTGACTAGCACTTCCACGGATGGGGCTGCCAAAGCCGCCCACCACTCCAGTTCTTAAATGATTAAAAACAACTGACCGGAGGGAGGGGTATCAGGGATCCTCTGGGGCTCACCAAGAAAATGCCGTTTCATTACATTCAATGCTGGTTTTCTGTGGGGGAACTCCGTTGGCTCCCTGAAGCTAACTATCCAAAGATAAGTAAAGCAGGAACTTAACCGGGAGGCAGCAGTATCGCAGGTCTCAAGATAAAGAAGAGACATACGGCTGCTACAGGTGCCCCAAAACCCCACATGGCTGGGAAGGAACTGAAACGTTCACTAGATACCTGGCAGTGTAACACTGTAGGTGTTTGGTTTAGTTGTATTTAAAATACATAGAGATACACGAGTCACAGACAAGGATTTGACAGGCGTCATTCTGGCGGCTTGAATCTCACACCTCTAAGAGTTAATGACCACCAAGTGACCTGAGGTCAGATCATGCGAATTTCACCTTGCTTCTGCTAATCTTATAATTGGAGCCTGGTAGCCTTCAAACATGCCGACGTTTAAGGAGGGGCTTGGTAGAGTGCCTGAGGCTATCTACTTGTGGGCGGAGTTAGTTACTAGGTTCCCCAATATATACTCGGAGAGCTATCGATTTGAGAGCATTAACAAGACAGAGAAGAACAGCAGCCAGCAGAGGAGAGAAGACGGCCTAGCAGGGAGGCTGTCGGCCGGCAGGGCGGGACAGTCTCTGTCAACTGCAGACCCTCCCCCCCCCCCCATCTCAATCCAGCTATAGGCAGATACTTGGTGAGTTGAGCATTAAGGTGACTTGGTCGTGTTTACATATGTTGTGTGATGATCAGGGGCAGTCAAGTTGTAGGGTTCTCAAATTCTTGGATGATGACTCACTTTGCATATTAAACTGGAACATTTGAATTTCTTAAATTATGATAATTATCATGTGAAATATAATTGAATTTATTATTTAAATTGCCTTTAACTTGGTTCCCTAGAGTTTTTGAGTTGAGGTGAGAAAGCCTCTGTGGTTACTGGTTCATGATATTAACACTTTCGCGCTCTCCGCAAAGGTCACTCAGCCAACCGAATGTGCGCGCTGCGTTTTTATCGCTTAAGCGTAAAAACAAAAATGTGTATACTCTTTTTACTCTTCTGACCTTAGTTCTCATGCTACGTATTTCATTTTGGTACCAACGTGTTCGCAATAAAATTCTCTAGAAGAACATCAGTAAAAAAAGTCACGAAACGTATAGGGATACAAGCACCAAATAAATAACTACGAAGATGACTCGCCGTGAGCGCCCATCAGCAACAAAATGTTTTTACTCTTGGGATTGTAATCACCTCCACACTTGTTCTACAGCGTTAATTTTGGTATCAATGGACTCGCAATGAAATTCCCAACACGGTGATATGAATATAAGCGTAGAATAATGATTGCGGCCCGCCCGCAAGAGTGTGGAAAGTGGTGAAATTGTTACCCGGTATCGGTGACGGGACGACGCACGGCGCTTTGAAAGTTTATACTTATTTCACTCTCATGACATTAATTTTCTATGTACGTCATTCATTTTTGTGTCAATGTGTTCGCAATAGAATGTTCTATGTGCCCATAGGTAAAAAATATCAACAAAGCGTAAGTTAGAATAGCGCCAAATATAAAACAACGCTGGAACATATCAGTGAGCGTCAAACACACATGAAATGTTTTTACTTTTCTTATGTTTGTCAAGTTTATACTTGTTGCACACAGTTATTTTTGGTTGTATATTGATCGGAATAAAATTCCCTAAACAGACATATGCATATAATACATGATATGGGGGAAGCATTACCAGTATAAACGGCTAAAGTCACCCACCTGCAACCCGTTTGGGACAAAATACCATTCGATCGAAGTTATCCACACCTTTCATGAACTTATTGTACCATGCAGCCTAGTGGTGAGAAAGAGAGCCTCATAGCGCGCAGTTTAAAACAAACCCAAAGTAAATCGGATAAAAATTGAATTTTATACAAATATTTTAAAAGTTGACATAACTTTATGTCCACTATGCGTTTACGTTAGACGAAACCGGACGCGCCGGCGCGTTCAGATAGCGCGAAAGTGTTAATGAGTACATGTTTGGAGTTGATACATGGTAATAACATCTTTTGAGAATATTTTGATACAGACAAGTTCCATTCCTTGTCTTGTATGTAATGGTCTAGAATGGATGGTGGCAGCATTTCGTCTTCTACTATCTACTCTTCTACTTCTACTATCTACTCTTCTACTTCTACCTATCTATTCCTCTCCCTCCACCCCTCTCCGAACTTTCCCTTTCAGCTAATGACCCTCCTCGCTCCTCCCACCTCTCTACCTCTCTCACTCCAAACCCTCACTAATTACTTCACTAGTCTTCTCTTTCCTTTCGTGTCTCTTATACGTTTGTGGCAGTGAAAAGTGTTCTAGAGTTCTCTCTAAAGTTTCGGGTAGCTGATCAAGTTACGCCGCCTTGTAGTCTTGGCACCTAGGTAGTCAAATACCTAGGTTACAAGGTGTTGAACGAGAGAGGTTGCCTTAGGAACTCTGGAGGTGCTCTAGAATAGTTAGCTAACTGGGGACGGGATAACGGACTAGAGAGAGCTGTTTTCCCCGGCCTCGATAGTTAACTGGGGGGTGGAATAATGGACAAGATAGAGCTATTTCCCCCACCCCCCCGTTACAGCAGCCAGGACCCTGTTCAACCTCCAAAACCCCCACGCCTGAATGTCTGCTAAAGACACATTGCCAAAAAACCCTGCGAGAGCAGCATACATCCGAATGTCATGAGCACAAGGGTAGACAGCAGACTGGCTGGACTTTGACACTGCGGACAACCTGAGAGATGAGCCCTGGAACTGGGAACCAAGGAGACTGGATCCATCCGGAAAGCCGCCACCAGACACAACACATGATGCACCCCTGGCCTAACCAACCAAACATCCACAACCAACAAACCTCTCTGGATGCCTTTTAAATATCCATTTTTAATATTTTTAAAGTTCATCCACTTGGATTGGTCATCCAAGGTCTTGAATTTTTACAGGGACAGTGTAAAAAGTATTGGCCTTGTATTTTTACAGGGTCAGTCCAATCACTTATAACATCCTTGATAGTCTAAGACGTTGGGCACTGTTCCTTCATACCATCCACTTATCCTAGCTCCTTATCCTCAAATTTTCTAGTGCTATGTAGTCAAAATAGCTTAGTTCTTTCTCTTGATAATTAATTACCTTCCCTTACCTTACCTTGAATCTTTTAAATACAGTATTTCTGCAGATCACCTTGGGATAAAGAATCTATTAGAATATACTAGTATAAAAGTTATAACAATGATACTAATATGCAGTATTAGTATTTAATAATTATAATGCAATTCTAGAAACATTACCTTGAAAAATGTGCAGAGTTCCTTGATATTTTCATCTGGTCCCAAAAAACCCCAAGCAAGAACTGGAGAGAGGTGCTCGGAAATATCATAAAAATGCGAAATGAAACCGTCTTGATACTTGAGCATTCGGCGCTTCGCTCTCAGCACACTCCACACAGCAGTAGACAATGCCTAAAATATTGGAACATACAGGTTGCAAATTTTCCTCGATAGAAAATATAATTGGTGGGTGATGTAGGTAGTCAAACAGTTATTGAGGGCCCTCTGATGATAATCGCTTGTCATGCCATGAGATATATTATGAAGGATTTGAATTTTATGAGTGACTGAAAATGACTTTTAGTGATGTTGAAATGTGACACTCTCTTGCCTTAGGGGACAACCAAATGTGACTACATAAATACAAGCAAAATGTTACCGAGAAACGTTGAGACAGAAAATATCAAAACATTGAGAAATAACAAGCAATAAAGAATAACTTGAATTTGAAGTGAAACCATAAATACTTCATAACAACTATGTAGATTAAACAAAGCTGCATGCAATCATATTTATGAAAATTATCCATAAATCACAAAGGTATAATGTTATTAAAAGTTATTTGTTATATATATAATGCATATTTTCTCAAGTCCTATATATATATAAATTATTCTATTCTTAACCTAGATTTGCTGTCAGGAAATGTAGTAGTAAATGGCCACCTTTAAATCAAGATATTATGATTAAGCTTGATCGAATACAACTACAGCAGCAAGCGTAGAAATATAACGGTGATTGTTCAAATACGAATACAGTACAACAGTGCTGGTAGAAATACAAATAAAATAATGCTTTTAGAAATACAACTACAACAGTGCTTGTAAAAATATGACTAAAAATATTTGTAAAAATGCAACTACAAAGTGCACTAAGGTAGTAATGGAAACAACAAAAGTCTCTTATTAACAGCATAATCATGCACAACACCAAAAATAACCTAAAATAGCATCATAATAATTATGAACTTACAGATTCCTTAAATCCATTTGAGAGCCATCTGTTTTGTACAACAGCTGTTACAGAAGAAGGGGGATTTTCTAGGTCCTCAAAAGCATCCATCAAGATAAAATCAAGGACAACATCATAAAATGTCAGAGCTTTAACGCCCCGGGCGAGAAGTTCTGCCTCTACTGCGGCCCAGTCACAGCTGTCAAGGAACACTAGCATCTCCTCATATGCTTGCACCACATCCTTTGGGTCCTTTTGAATGCGAAATCATGTTATAAAAATCAAATAAAACATTTTGAGTAAGGAAAAAATTCAAAACAAATTTCTTTTAAAATAAGATGCACTGTACAGTATCTATCTACTAAAGATCAGAGTTGATTTTTCATATAAAACATGAAAGGTTAACTTTTTCTTACTTATGAAATATGAAGCAATGGCTTGCCTATAAATAACACTGTACATACCTTATCTGCTCGTGCCAGAAGGTTACCAATTATCTGTCTGCCAGAATTGGCAAAAAAAACCTTAGTTTCTTCTTGTGAAAATAATAGCTGGCAAGCTAGACGGATACAGTGAACTTTGCAAATATACTCCACATCACTCCCACACCGAACTCGATCAGAGCGAATGTCTCTGTAAAGGAGTTTAAACCCAACAAGTTAAAAACCATTTCTACTTTAATTACCACTGAATTATTTTCTATATTTACTATAACAAAAATAGCATATATTACCTATTAAATAATGTTCAGTTAAGTAGGGCAACATTAATAAAAAAAATTGTATAATTATACTATATACACAACTTTGTTTCTACTTGTTACATGGTGTCTGTGCCTAAGAAAACGTGCAAAAGGTGTGGTGTTGTGCAAGAGAACAGCAGTGCTGTGCGAGGTAATGGCAGTGTTGCCAGTGTGCCGCTCCGGCACCACTCGGCAAGTGAATGATTGAATGGTGTAAAGGGAGAGAGGATGAAGGGATAGGGAGATAACGGCTTGTGGGTGATGGCTGATTTTTGCAGGAGAATATTAGTATTACATCACTAACAAGTTAATAATGATATTTTTTTTTAAAAGATTTAATGATATTTCAATTTTTATATATATACTGTATTGAAAATTAAATAGGCTGAATTGTACTGGTACGAATCTGGAATTATAATACCCGACACACATGAATGCGCCCTGTTTGTTTATGCGAGACAAAGTTGCCAACCTACTGCATTGGATATGAATATTTAGCGATAATGTTCATGGATTTGGCAGTAGTTTATTAGACTGGTATTCTTTATTCATACAATAGTATATTTTAGTATTAAATACTAGGCAGGTAAAATGACAAAACTGCTACACATAACTTGACATAATTTAGTGTTTTTTGGGGTGGTTCTAGCATTGTGTGAAATACAGAATTGACAACTCTACTAATGCCACTGAAACACAGAAGCAAAGTGGTGGCTGGTGGTCTGTGGATTTCTCTCTAATACAGAAGCATTTTTTCTTCACAAACACCCCCATCATGGCTTCTAAGCAATCAATGTTGAATTCCTACTTTTGTAAACAAAATGAGGAGTGGTAAAAGTTGTGTTTTGACTGCTTCTAGTTCAAATTTTCAAACTGGGTCCATTAATTAACAGTTTCTTACTAGTCTTGTGAACAATTTGCAGCAATATGATCATAACATCCATGAAAGGCTCACACTTCTGAACCTCAAAGTATGTATAAATCACTGCTAAGTGAAATGCATGTCCTTGAAAAACTACTGACCTGATGAAATGCCACCTATTTGTGGATAAGCTGAAATATTACCTCTCTGTAAGAGGGTTAAGCTTTCTTCTTACTCTGCACTAATCATGTATCAGCACTTATGTTTGTTAAACTACATGGACAGCCTCTAGGTCAGTGGAATCCTAAGCCATATCATGGCTGTGGTACCACAGATCGGCCGATGACATCAGGACAAGAGTTGCTTCAGACCCCAGAAAACATCTCACACCTGAGCCTTTGTGCAAACTTTTGTGACACTTCGCTGGTTGCATTTGGCGAGTACTAAGTGTTTTAACTCCTTAAATTGATAAATGCATGATTGATGCTTTTTCCTTATTTGTTTGATAATTATATATTATGATAATTAATGAGTACAAACATGAAATACTAAAGTGTGACATATATAGAAACAGTATCGGAAATGACAAGCTTTTGCCAAGCCCACCACAGCTCAGGCACCTATAAAATTGGCTTTACGGGTTCACTATAGCCCGTGCTATATGGACATTTCATTCCGAGTAGCTAAATCTTAAACAACAACCACCACTCTGGGTAACAGAGTACTTACCCAGAGTACCACTCTGGGTAAAGGTGTAGAGTGGTGCAGTGCAGGGTAACAGGTTTAATCCTCCATTGTAGGGGTACAGAAAATTTATCGGCCTTAGCCTGGGGGACCCTGTTAAGAACTGACCCTCTCCGTGAATATACACAACAGTCTACTAACTCTCGGATACCGCCCTATTGATTGGTAGGCAGAGGCATCGGGTGTAAGGAAACTCTTTCTGCCTGAATCGAATGCAAAACCAGTAGTAGTTAAAATACAAAAAGATGTTATGCAACTTTACTGAGATATGAAGATACTGTACAAATAAGATTCAATGGCGGGTACACATGTGCTAGAGTAAAGTGTGTCGGTGTGGTGCAGGTACAGGTGTGGTGCTAGGGTACAGGTGAGGTGCTAGGGCACAAGGACGGTCAAAGGGTACCTGAAAGGTATGCCACCTTCCTCGTGTTGCTTGAGTGCTGCCATGTAGAGCGGGTACTGAGCTTCATCAAACTCCTCTAGGTCGCGCAAGTCTGCAATCTACAGAAATTGAAACATTATGTTAAAATAGGTAGAATGGACAGTAAAATATGATATCGATTTTGATTTGCCTTTTTCTGTAATATTTACTGTTGCTTACCAACAATTAGAGAATTTACAATGGTGTGTTAGCATTATAATAAATCTTAATAAAAGGTATTCAGAAACTGGTACAAAATAAATACAAAATCTTAAATTATTAAGCGCATCTCTACTGTAACTTCTTTTTTTAGGTATCAAAATCAAGATTAAGGGTTCTGATGTGATAAATACTTGCTCAGTTCTTAGCCAGCTATCATATTCCAAGAGCCCTCGTCTGATATTTCTTTGGTATCTTAATTTGATCTCATTAAACATGAAGTAACTGTGAAGAATTTACAGTCTGCTACAGAACGTTTAGAGCATTTACAGGCTCCACCGTTGGCCTCTGTGGAACACTTACAGGCTTCCCCAGTTAAAAGTGTGGAATACTTAGTGACGGCCTGAGCAGCAATGCAACTGCTCACTGGGTTTTCTACGCACCACAGAATACACAACATTCTGGCAGCTGCCTCATGGTCGAGATTGGAAACCTGGAAGGGTCACTATCCAGCCCGATCTCTCAATATGCCACTATGTAGGAAATAAAACTATGTTGCCAAATCATCAAGCATGAACGCAAGCAGTCCACCTAACATATCACAGCCGATGTATAGGAAACATCATTAATATCTAACAGTTATTCTAAAAAAAAAATTAGAGAGGTAAGAACCTTGAATTCCCTAACACCCTCCTCCCAAATTTAGAAAAGCTGATAATTGGAGTCACTTTAGTTTTTTATATTTAAATTATTTTTATTAAATTCCATCTTCATATTAGGTTATTTATTTTTCTAGATATTTTTGGTTAGGCTTCATTTTTACATTTTAAAATTAATTTGAGGAGAGCAGGAAAGTTTTCAAAGGCCAACAGTGAAAGATTAAAACAATGCGAGGCGGGAAGACAGGCCTACTCACGTCACCAGAAGCAGAGACAAAGGACTCGTACGAGGAGGCAGAAGTGATGGTCCGACGGTCGAAGGTCTCACAGGTGACCTCTGAAGGCACCGGGGTCACGCTCGTAGACCGGAACAACACCGAGTGCTGTGGGAGAGGTTAGAGAACTCTATCACACCTGTACCTCGTGTTGCTCTATCTCCTCCAACACCATCTATTCCCCCACCCCCTCTCACACGCCTCTCTAAACCCACTAGACTATTACCTCCATTACCCACCATTCCCTTGCTACCTCCACCACCTTCGCCATTCTATCTCCACCTCCATTTGATCACCACCATCCCTCGCCTACCTCCAACACCCCCAGTTACCCACCAACTCTCCTCCCCTCCCTTTATCCCAGCTACATCTAGCATCCTTCCCTCCCCCCCCCCTCCAAGTTAGAAGTTACAGCCCCGCTCCTGTGCCAGGTAAGTCCACTACGGGCTCACCATAGCCCGTGCTACTTGGAACTTTTTGTCCCCAGTAGTTGGATCTTAAACAACAACAACCACCTCCAAGTTAAAGCCACTAACCCCCTGGCACCACCACCACTACCCCGACCTACCTTCACAAAGGCCGAGATTTTATTTAAACTCGACAATATCTAAAACATTGACACATTCACCGCCTTGCAACATAACATAAGAATAACATCATTTCAGAGTACAAAGTCACGAATTCCTTATTTACAAAAAAATCAACACGCATTAAAAATAACTTTTCAATTTATTCGTTAGCAAGCAGGTAGAATAAATTGACGATTTTAGTGTATGAAACACTAGAGAGAAGTTACCTGGTGTAGGAAGAGATGTTCGCACTGATCCTGGAGGCTGTAGGAGTCATCTATGACCCTCTGGAGGAGTGCTGTGAACTCTGCCTCCTCCTGGGAGGTGAGGGCCACTCCGCCCGTCACGCCAGCAGTGTAGGCCGCCAGGGCGTCCTCCCAGAACCCGAGAGCCGTCTCCAACGCCTCCATACCTGCCGGGATAAAGGACTCGTCAGTGTCTCTTGTGCCAGTGGTGAGGCTGGGTTTAGCGTTGGACTAAACCAAGCCTCGCCTGTCAACTGCACGAGGGTTATTAAGCTTGTTGACCAGCCAGCAAGTATACTTTAGTTGTTGACCAGACCACATACTAGAAGGTGAAGGGACGACGACGTCCGTCCTGGACCATTCTCACAATCGACTTGAGAATGGTCCAGGACGGACCGAAACGTCGTCGTCCCTTCACCTTCTAGTGTGTGGTCTGGTCAACATACTTTAGCCACGTTATTGTGACTCATCGCCTGTATACTTTAGTTCTGCGCATAGTCTAAGACTAAACTCAATATAGATACCGAAAGATATGGGATACACCCATTATTTTACAGTAACTTGTACCCCTATAGTAGTTGTAGATCTTTATCAAACGAGTCCAGCCAGTTGAAAAAAAAACATTTGGTAGAATTGAACATGAGGTTGTATTAAAAACAAAACATCTTTAACATGTTTCTACCAATGTTTCCAAAACATCTCTGATGATCCAATGCTAGTTTCAACAGGATATATACAGATCACAAACACTTGCCCCAATTAGTTTCATAAATACAAGTACAGTAGACCACGCATAAAACACACCTAATATACAATTATATTTTGTGGAAAAAACACACATTTTACTGATTAATCACAAACTCATTGAAAATAAATTTCAAGTGGATTTTGTATGTGAAAAACGTAATGCTGTGCAACATTCTAGACTCCCAAATGAGGATCCTGGGTTCGAGTCCCGGCAGGACAGAAGGGAATTATCAGGAGAAAGCACCCAGCCACTCTACTATAAAGCACTTGGAAGGTGTCAGAATAAGGATTTGGGATGGGACGGGGGGAAGGAATGGTGGCCAACCACTTGGACGGTCGGGGATTGAACATCGACCTGCATGAAGCGAGACCGTCGCTCTACCGTCCAGCCCAAGAGGACAGAAATGATTGGCCACGTTTTATTTCACCTGACTCACCTAGCAATAAATATGTAACCGGAAGTTAAACATCTTTCTTCTCCTTCACGGGAGACATCTCCCGTCACGCAGGGTGTAGTTGCACCTCCACAGATCTCCAGTATCAGCTCTTGATACTGGTAATGGCTCAAAAGGGCCACCACTTACGGGCTATTCATGCCCGTGCCACCTTTTGGATGGCAATCATTAAACTTAATGTTTAAACTTAATGATTTTAATCATTAAACATCTTACGGGATCACCATAGCCCGTGCTACATGGACATTTCGTTCCGAGTAGCTAAATCTAAAACAACAACAACAGTTAAGCATTTATTGTAGGGGGGTTGCCTCCTGGGAACGGCCAGTGGGTTATATAAATTGTAATCCTCATTACCGTGGAAATAAAGCCCATAGCCTAGTCGATGGAGCTTCGACCTAACACGCGTGGGGTTCAGGGTTCGAGACCCATACAGGCCAGTAGTTCATCCTTGGGGTGGACGTCAATGCAAGCCTCAAGTATGCACATTACATAGAGTGTGTCCCCGACAAAACGAATATACTCTGTTGATGGCGGACCATAAACACGTGTTCTATCCTTCGCCAAACAATAATTTATTCTTTCATGAAGTTTAATGAGGTGTGTGTGGCGGCTTGATATATCATCGTCAACACAAGCACTTCGAATCCAGCTTCGAATGCGGCTTTCAAGCTGCATGAAAGCATTATTAAGCCATAAATCCTCCTAATCTTAATAAATAGGACTGGACCCTTTGGCCAGCCCAAGGCCAAGATCCTCAGTACACTTACCTGGTGACATGGGATACAATTGGAGAATTGTATCCCACGATCATGGCAGCTTAGTCGGCATTTACTAAGCTACGTACGCGCCCCCTGGAGCGCTACGAGCAGTCCTTAACTTGTACCTTAAGCAGTCCTTAACTTAGCTCGTAAACTGGTCGATGAATAACCAATAACATCTGACAATCACTCTGGTACCAAACACGTATGATACTGATGTACACGTGTAACTATTTACATTTATATTCTCGTGTGGAAGTCCGGAACGATAAGGACATTTCTCACGTAAGAGAAGAGTACAACGAATCGTGAAACCCAGATGTAAATTTCTCCGGATGGGAGTCCCTGGGAACAATGTAAAAACAACGTTTTTTCACGTTGCTACAACGTTAAACACCCATTGTAGCTACGCTGTGTTTGAAATGTAAACACGGAACAGTCCAGGAATTACAAACAGGAGTGACCAAGTAAACAGGCAGACCGTTAAAACACTTAACAAAACAGCAACATACAGAAAGAAGCACGATTGACAGAAGCCTAGACAGACAGGCAGATATACCCACTCCAGGTATACTCCAGGTTTACACAGACAACCTGCTCCTGATCACAAGTATGAGAACTGTACAGGAACTTTAGCAACAGCACCGACAGCGTCTCTTCATTAGCGGCTCCAGTCCCCTGGAGGGTCCCCGCCACCTCCCTGCCCAATCGGCCATCCTCAGACAGACAGGATATGACAGAAAAGAAGGGGACGGAGGGGAAATAGAAGCAGTCGGATCATTGAGGAGACCGTGTGAGCCTCAAAACAGGGACGGACAGAGAGGACAGATCCCAGATTCGAAAACAATATGAACCACTAAAGGACAGGGAGGAGAAAGAGACGGGGAGCAACCGGTTACGGGGAATTGTAACGTTTCTTCTCGCAATCACTTTCTCGTCAGACTTATGAAGATGATTATAAAATAATAAGTAGGATATGAAGGTAGGGAGGAGAGGAGGGCGTGAGGGAGAGGGAGGGAATGAGGGGAGAGGGAGGGAAGATAGGGAGGAGGGCGTGAGGAAGGGAAGGTAGGGAGGAGGGCGTAAGGGAGGGAAGGAGAGGGAGAGATTGTATACAATTGGCACAACAGAATACAACAACCCCGGGAGGGAACAATCAGGAAGGTGAGGCAGTCACAGTCATCACTGATGTGAAGAAACTGACCACCGCCAGACGACACAAAAGAGGAAATTATGAGGGAGCTGATTGGTGGACGTGACCTGGACTCTGGATGAGATCGACCTGGTGATTGGCTGGGGGAAGACTCGTCAGGGAGGAAACCAGGGAGCCATATGGGTTGGCTGCTGCTTATTCCTGTTCCTAACACCGTGTTAACAGCTGACACACCACTTCACAACTGGTGGTTGTTATTTAACGTAAAAATAAATATTAAAAACTAGACTAAAGAATGTTCAAGAATATGTACACGAAAATACATTATTTTTACACCATTAACTCGTTCCATTTTCAACACGACTCCCTCGCTGTGGTATCTTTTTTCATAGCTTCATCTACATATTTCGTCTACCCTAGTCTACGGTCACTGAGCCCACCACCGGCACCACCCCACCAGCAGCAGGAGGAGGAAGCAGCCCCCAGTGCCTGCTCAACATTCAGGAGGCGGTCACATTTGTAAAGTAATCCCCCCAGGTCGGCTCTACTGGTGGTGAAACGTCCATGTGTTCCTCTGAATAGACCCAGGGGGCGCCCCCACCCCCTGATCAGGGCTGTTCCGCCCCCATCTTCCTCCTGCTGCTGCTGCTTAGTTGCCACTGGAGGTCCTGCACACACCACGAAAATGAGGCACAGTGGAGAAGAGTGTCAGCACCACACATGATGTTGGGTATGGTCTCTCGATACGAGAACGGAAGCAGGACCGTCAGTAAGATCAGAGATGGTGATGGCTAGATTGTACCTAGATTGTACCTGTATTGTACCTGTACTCTCACACAAAACGGTACATGACGCTCTCCTCCCGTTGCCCCAGGCTCTCCTGGTTGGGTACACAGCGTACTAGTGTGTTCTGCGACTTACAGTTACTTGGGGTCGGTGATCTGAGAAGGCCAGTTGATCTGTGTGGCAATAAAATTAATCTACACCGCGCCGAGGTTCCCGATTGGTGTCCAAGAGTAGTGTAGGTCTGTAGGACACATGTTAGTGTGGAGAGAGTGTACCTAGCCAGTGTACCACCAGCGTGTGACCCAAGTCCCTAGCTATGCATCATGTGACACACACAACGGCAGTATGACAATCAAATTATGGATTTAGTATGTACATGTGTAAAATACATTCAGGAGAGCTGGTGATTTTTCCCTACTACAACTACTATTACTGGTTGCTGCTAACTACAGCACCAGTACTACTACTGATGGTGTAGTTAACAAGGTTATTACAGCTGTTACTGTTGTGAACGTTGTGTACTGTTACAATACAGCCATTACAACCCATAATGTTACAACAGCCATCATTGCTACTGTTCCCTGGAGAGCCAAGGAGCCGCCTCCTACCGACTATTGCAACATCATACACATTGTTTACGATCCAGTTACTTACAAATACTACAATAAACCAACCATCACCAGTTGTTTACAAGAGGTGTATGAAGGTGCAAGGAATGACGTATATAATGATAGGCTTGCTGTCCCCAACCAAACGTGAGTATATGCAGTATATAATTTAGGCTTATATCACAGCTTCCCCCTCCACCCCTCTTCACCCAAGGTCGACCTATCTACCTTCCCTCAGGATGTAACCCCCATGACACTTACCTAACTCCCGGGTACCTATTTACTACCAGGTGAACAGAGGCATGAGGTGAAAGGAAACGTGCCCAATCATTTCTGTCCCACTCGGGATCCCCCGATTGTAAGTTCAGACGGGACCCAACTGCACGACCCAATCAAGCACGTGTGCACGTGTTTGCCATTCGTTATGCACTGTGTTTACCTCTGCAATACTATAGGATTTTTTTTAATCAAGCTCGTTATACTATTTAATCATTTTACATATTTGCATTAAGCCAATTCGAATTATTTGCCATGCAAGAAAAAGTAAGGTGGCTGTGAGGTGGGGGGGGGGGAGATGGGGGGGGGAGATGGAGGGAGGGAATAGGTGGAGTGTGAGTGAGCGTGTGTGTGTGTGTGTGTGTGTGTGTGTGTGTGTGT